CGGGTGTGAGTGTGTCTGTGTGAGCTTGCGAGTCTGTGTGCGTGTTGCGGGCGTGGGTACGCGGCTCCAGATGCTGGGAGCCTGGGTGTGTGTGCGTGTGCGTGTGTGTGTGTGTGTGTAGGTGGGGGTGACAGCTAGAGCTAGGTCCGGGCGGTGCGCGTCTCCATCAGCCGCCCCGCCCTCCACCTCCCCCACCCTCCCTGGACGGGGTCCCCATACCTAGGGAGGGAGAGGGATGTGTGAACCAAGGGGCATCTGTTTGAGAAGGGTCTATGCGGAGCCAGGGTGGGGAGAAACGTGTGCAAAAGAGACAGCACCACCTCCAGACGTTTGGAGGGTCTCTGCTGAGGGTGCGCCCCAACGGGGAGTGGATCTCAGTCCAGAAACAAGACTCTACATCTCTTGGGGAAGCGTATGGGGGCGACCCCAGTGCGCGGAGTGGCCGCTTCGGTTTCCCAGTAAGGGTGGTTAGGTCTAGGCAGGGTGGGTGCACAGGCCCTCCCCCATCCACTTTTGGCTCCCGCTGGGCCTGGCCAAGAGGAGTCATTCACCTAAGCCACGCGCCAGCGCCCTCCCCATCCTCGGCCTGTCGTGACCACTAGGCTGTGCCAGCCCCCGGGTCTAGAAGCTTCCTCAACCAGAGAGGGCGGCCCAAGCTCCTCAGACTTCTATGCCACCAGCACCGAGTAGGCGCTTACTGTGTGCTGGGCTTTGATCCTAGCCGTGCGAAAGAGAGAGCTGAGGCGCCTCTCAGGCAGCCTTCATCCCAGCCAAGCGCCTCACGGCCCTACCCTGCCCCTTCTGGGCCTGGGTTCGCAGCGCTATGGCGTCTCTCTAGGGCTTCGCACATAGACTCTCCAGGAAATCCCCCGCAGCCCCTCCTCGGTCTTAGTCTGCACTTTGCTGAGCAGAAGCTTCCTCTACCGCGCCCACCGCCTGGCATTAGGACAGGATTCGCCTCTGCGCGGGTGGGGGAAGAGGTCCAGGGAGGCCTACAGCCTGAGGCTGGCCCCGGAAAAGCCACGCCCTCCAGGCCTTGCTTTGGCAGATGGGCCTTAACCGACGCACCAAGATTCTGTTTGAAGTCTATTCCCAGAATGTCAGATACAGCCAGAGTCAGAGATAAATATACAAGAACACATTCCTTGGTCTGGGTTAAGTGTTTTATGTTTACCCATAGTTCAGGATCCACTGGACCTGGGACCGACCTCAAGAACAAAAGCACTTGGATTCCCAGGGCAGAGGAGGGCTGCTGGGTGGGAAGGCTCCTCTCTCTGGTTTGGGTATGAGGCCCTCTCTCCATGGACGCGTCTCCTTTCCTGAGGGATGCAAAACTGGGCTTGGAATCTCTGTGCCCTCCAATGCCCCAACCCCACATACCTGTCTTAGACAATGCTCCAAACATACTTGTGGAATATGCTATTCATTCATTCTACCAGCATTTACTGATTACCTGCTGTGTACCTTGACAGGTGTTAGAGCCCCTTGGGAAACTTCCTTGGTAACAATGATAACCACCATTCTATTTTCAAAGAGTCTATCCTGGACAAAACACCATGCTTAATTTTTTAAAGTATTATTCACATTATAAAATCTACCATTTTAAAGTATACAGTTCAATAGTTTTTAGTATATTCACAAGGACTATGCATGATTTTAAATTCTCAAAATAAGTGTTAAGTATGAGGTATTATTATCCCAGGGAGGCTAAGTAACTGACCCATGATCACCCAGCTGGGAACTGGCAGAGTAAAAATTTGAATCCAGGCTATTGAGACCAAAGTCTCTGAACAAAAGTCTTGACTGCCTCTTAGGATGGGGCCAGATGATGGATGGTCTTAAAAGTCATCTATGAAATGAGGCCTAGTTGAGGAGGACAAGTGGGAGCCATTGCAGGTTACTAAGCAGGTGAGTGGTGAGACTGAAGTTCTACCATGTAACATTGTAACATCTGGCATAGCAGCCCCTGAGTCTCTTTCTATAAAGATTCCGGAATCCTTCTGTTTCTCTCCATTCCCTCTTAGTCATTGCATTTCCATTGCTGGCCCTTTGCCCCATCCCACCCCCAAAAATTGTATCACGCACCTACTCTGTGCCAGGTGCTTGCTCTCTTAAGCTCAGAGAATAAAGAGGTGAAAAGGACATAGTATCTGTCCTCAGAGAGTTCCCAGGCTAGTGGGGGCCCCAGGACAGGCAGAAAATACATCACAGTGCAGCATGAACGTGTTGTTGAGGTAGGTATAAAGGGCCCTGGGAATAGAGAAGAGTGACCAACAGTTCTACCTCAGGAGTGGGCACAAGGGAGGGTCCGGAGAAACTGAAAAGCAGAGATGGTACTGAGATGGACATTGAACATGTCTGTTTGGTTCCCTCAGAAGCAGGTTCTGAGAAAAAGATCTGAATGTGAGTAGTTTATTCGAGGGATTAGGAAGCACTATGTGGGGAGTGTGGATGTGAGGCAGGGAAGGCAGGCAATAAGAGTGGTTTATCAAACTAGTTATCACTGTGGGCAGTTAGGGCTCATTCCCACTGAGGAGCTCTGGGAGACCATGTAGAACACACCTTACACTTAGCCCACCACAGGGGTGAGGGAGCAGTGGTGTGTATACACCAACTTTCATCAGTCACTGGCTCAGTGGCTGAGGGCCACTTCCAGGCTGAGGGCGTTAATTCCCGGTACTTCTGGCCTGACCAGCACAGAATGGCAATGTAGGTCCCAGAAGCCATAGAAAGCTTCAGGCAAAGAAGTGCAGGTTCTGGCAGTTGGATATGGGGCTGGAGTGCACCGCAGTGGTAAAGGTGAGGGTATAGACAGGACAGTGGCTGCTTCAGATGATGAACTTCTGCCTGGAAGACAATGTTGAGCAGGTGCTCCTGGCAAGGGAGCAGCATGATTAAGGTCCAGAGAGCTGTGTTTGTGGACCCAAGTGTGGCTAGAGCGCAGGATGAATATGAGGCCAGGAGGTGAGGGGACATGATATAAGGCCAGAGGCTTTTCAGAAGGAGACACTGAAGACCAGACTGGGGTGGTCTGGTCTGAAAGACACCCCTCAGGTACATGGCTAACCAGTGAGCCGCAGAACACAAAACTTGCTGATCAGGCCTAGGGCAAAATACTCATAGTCCTTGCTCAAATGACTTGCTGATGGTTCAAAAGAAGCCTATGGGCATTGCTATTGGAGAGGTCATTTTCTCTCTGAGGGATATGATAGTGCCAAGTAACTGAGGTCACCTGTGATGTTAAACCAGGCCAGCCGGCAGGCCAGCAAGTGCTGCATACATGCTGTCTGGGCCTGGCAGCCTAGATTAGAACCAACCATGGCCCTGGCCCACCCCGCCACGTAACCAATGCTTGTCCCTCTGATTACAAACTGTGAGCACGGAATAGGCCATGCCCAGAAGATCTGGAATAATCAGCATCAGCGTTTTGCCTTTGCCATCCAAGACTGCAAACATGCTCTCCTCTGACCTAATCTGCAGTGTTAATGATGGCAGAGCAATTTGGAGAGGCAACTCACAGCATTGATAAGGAGAGGAAAAGCACCACAGGGCTGAGGAGGCAGAGCTCACAAATGAAGCAGCTGCTGCCCTCTCCCCTCCCCTAGGCATGTAAATGCTGCCCTCAGATCTGCTCTGTTTGAGGATGGGGATGATAAGAGCAAAAGAACACAGAGGAGCAGAAGAAGGAGTGTGCATGGGACAGGGAAGTGGGGGCTGTCCCTATTGCACCTTAGAACAAGCTAGAAAAAGGTGTTCTTTACTTTGGATAAATGCAACCCTGAGCCAGCCAGGGCATATGGCTTGTGGACCATAGTGTGTGTTGAATTTGAGCCTCTACTTACTCCCTTGGCTGGATGCCCTTGTGAAGTGAACACCCTGCAGCACTATATATGGGAGCCCTGGGGAGAGAGGGAGAGGGCATGACAGGAACCTGAAACCACCATGGCAGTAAAGAGGTGGGGGAGATGCAATGTCTGATTCCATCCATTAATAGAAATGCAAAAAAAGGCTTGGTTGGAGACCATCTAGGTTAAACCCTTTCTTTCACTAAAAAGCTTCAAGGAGGTGAGTGATGGAGTCAAGGTCACCTGACTCTTCTCTCAACAAGAAACTCCACTAATAACAGCCAGATCAGGCACCCAAGTGCAGTGAGGACCTGCCTAAGAAGGTCT